TATGGTTTAAACTAGAGAGTGATAACTTAAGGCACAGGTATCCCCAAGACACATCTGAGGCAATACTTATTTATATATCTCAGTCCTAACCTCTCTCTTGACATATAGTCTCCCATTTCCTATCTCCTACTGGGCTTGTTGAACTTGGTGACACGTAGACATCTTTAAGTTCTGCATGTCTCAAATGGAATTCATTACCTTTTCCCCAAAACCAGCCTCTCTTCCTAACTTCCCTTTTACTGCTAAGGGTACTGCCATCCTCCTAGGCACCTAGACCTGCAACTTAGATGTCATCCTCAACTCCTCACTCTCACCCTCCATAGCCAATTAGTTATCAAGTTGTCCTGTTCATTCTGCCTTTATAACATCTCTCACATATACCTTCTTCTCTCCTCTGACACTGCCCCAACCCTGGTGCAAGTCCTCCTAATTTCATGCCTAGTCTATTGCAGTAAGCTGCTGGTAAGTCTATCCACCTTCCATTCCAGTCCATCCTCCGCTCTCTGTAAAACTGATCTTCCTAAACCACAGATCTAACTCATATCATGCCTATTTCTTATTCAATTCCAAGGGCTCCTTATTAACTTCAGGATCAAATATAAAATCCTCTGTTTGACTTTTAAAGTCCTTCATAACCTGGCCCCTTCCTACCTTTGTAGTTCTCTTGCAACTTATTTTCCTCCATCTACAACTATGGGCCTGGGACACTGGCCTTCCTCACACATGACACGACACTCCCTCTTCCCAACTGCATTTTCACTGGTTTTTCCTCTTGCCTGGAACTCTTTCCCTTCTCATCTCCTCCTGTTGGTTATCCTGGCTTCCTTCCAGTTTCGACTGAAGTCTTACCTTCTGGGGAAGAAGCCTTTCACAGTCCTCCATAATGCCTTCCTCTTACTACCCACTTCTGTTTAATTGTTTTTCCGTTAACATTAAACAAATATCATTGAGATCTTACTGTGTGCAAAGCATCATACTAGATGGCAAGAGTTCTACAACAACGAATAAGACACAGTCCCTGCTTTCATGGAACTTACAGTCTAGTATGGGAGGGGATATGTGTATAAATAACTATCATAGAAACTAGACAGTTATAACCACAAAAAAGATGAAAAATAGAGTTCTTTGAGCTCAGATGAGTGTGTGATCAGTTTCAGCTTTGGAGATGGTGGGAGATCAGGGAAGGCAGGAGATAAGTAGGTTTAATTTTTTTTTTTAACATTCTTTTACTGAAGTTAATGAAATTTTTGTCAGTTTGAAGGTAAGCATAAGAATGAAGCTATTAGCCAGCAACTGCATGTTTTACGTAAAGAAGTGAAGCAGTTACAAGCAGAAGCCTCCAAGCCGCCATCACAGAATATTGTAGAAGCAGCCGTGCATGCTGAGAACTTGATTACGTAAGTTTTTAAGACATCGTTAAGTCTACTTCCCAGAAGAATTTTACTGTAAATTTTACTTTACTAGCTTATTTATAAATGCTATAGTGCATTAATAAACAATATCACCCAACTTCAATCAGTGTTTTCAGTTACAGCATTTACAATATCCCCTTATATCTTCAGAGTGCCTTGTAAATTATTTCAGGCCACTCACATATTCTGTAAACAAGGTTTGTATCAGAAATGTTTAAGAGAGTCAGAACTCTAAAGGTCACTTGCTCAGGGGTTGTGATAGAATAATCCTAGGATGCTAGATTGAAAGCTGGAAAGGGACCTTAGAGGTCACTGACTGCAACCTCATTTTGTAGATGGAGAAACTGAGGCTCTGGGAGGCTAAATGCCTTGCTCTGGGTCATGCAGAGAGTGAATAGCAAGGCTGGAATGTGAACCCAGGTTTTTTGACTCCAAATCTAGCATTCTTTACACTTCTGACTTCTCAGGCATATTTTTCTCTTGCCCATCAATTATGGAAAAAAACATATTCTTGAACCCCTGTTTGTTCTCAAAGTTACTTTTCTCCCCAGAGTTGGCAACACAAGCCAGGGGAAGTCTCTGCAGAGGAGCAGGATGGGCAAGACTGCAGTGCCTGCCGCTCCCAGGTGTCACCTTCCAACTTTTAGAGCAGGTAGATTCCATTTTGTAAACCCTGAGAATAAATAAGAGTTTTTAATGAAAACGTACCTTTTATTCTCTTATTGCTTGCAATGCAACACTGAGGATTCAATTCTTAAATTAAAAACTTATTTTTCTTTTACATACATACTTGGAGCAATGTAGTATAATACCAGAGGACCTGACCTTCAGAGTTTAGAGTGAAGATTATACGACATTTCGTAGCTAATATGTAGTTGAATAATGACTACATTGCATGTAGAATATTCAGCTATACAGCTGAGAGTAGGAAAAGTGGGTTAATTAGAGTTTGTTTGTATTAAGGTTGTGTTTGTACTAGAAGAATCAGAAATTCATAGATGCCAAAAGATGACATGTAAAGTCATCATGAAAATGGGGTAGGTGAATAATTGCACCCATGGAATGAGTGAAATTATCTATGAGAGCCTTAAACTACCTGAACAGATTTTGCCAGAGCAAATAATGCAAGGAACATAAGAAAAGATTCTTATGAATTATGATTTTTTTATCATTAGATAATAATTGCTTTTTTTTCCACTTTTCTACAGGGCCTTAGTGAATGCCTATAAGTTACAGCCTACACCTGGTATTCAGAAAGTTGGCATTAGCCTCTTCTTTACAGTTGTGGAGTATGTGTGTGATGAGACACAACGTCACCCTCCTACAAGACAGTTCTTTACCTCCTGCATTGAGATCTTAGGACAAGTAAGTTTAATCTAAATGTATCTCACAGATTCTTATTTACTGAATTTTCATAGTTTGATAACCATGTGCTTGTCAACTAGGTAAAGTTGGTGTTGACTTAAGACTTAATAGCCAATCTTTTGCTTCTACTCAAATTAAAAAATAAAATACTACTCTGAATTTTTGTGAAAATTTTACCAAGGAACAAAATTGTTCATAGTTCCTTTAAGTATAGGTAGTTTTTTCCCTGCATACTTGAGATTCCTTGTAAATATTTCAGAATCATAAATGAAGTAAATTTCACTTTGCTATTTTTAGCTTATTGCACAGAACACATGGATACCAGGGAAAGAAAAGACTTATAAGTTCATTATCTGAAGTTTGTTGTTAAAAAAAAAAGGAAATAAGCCATTGTTTTGCTCATTGACATTGTACATTTCATATTCAAATTTAACAAGCAATATTTTTTCACCATTAATTTTTCAACCTTAATTTTTATAATTTAGGGTTTGCCTTTCTCTTTCTTAAAACATAGTTGAGAAAAAGATAAGGTGACCAAGGTTACATATTAATTATAAAAGTAATCCTTTTGTAGATACATTTAAGATATAGTTTTCCCAAAATCCATAACAAAAAAAGCTATATTGCATAAAATGTAGAAAATATTTTCTTTAATCTACTTGAAGTCACTATTGGGTTTTAGCTATAGTATATACATCTCAACATTTCAGGTTTATATCACTACAGTAATAGATGGTTAGAATTAATTTTATTAAAATTAACTGTATATAAGTCACCCATGCGCAGTTCAGGAGCCATCTACATTCTGTCCCTCTTCTGCTTTCTTGCCCTCATTGCTGGAAGGAGAGCCCACATGTACATAATTTAGGACTCTCTGCTGACCAGCAAATCATCAACTATGCATTTGCTCACTATGAAGTTCCCTGACACTTAAGTAATTTAGGGATGAAAGGAGTAGGACTACAGCTTCAAACCAAATGTATGGATTAGTTATCATTTTCTTTCCTACATAAATAAGTACTAATGATCAGGAGCTGACCATATTTATTGAAATCTCTTTGATGGTTTTAGCTTCTAAAGAAGGAATCTTAACCTGTGACTTTCTTCACTGTCATAGTTTGAACAATCCATTGTTTTATCAATATGTAGCAGTGATGTCAAACCCAAATAGAAATAAATCCCCGCTGGCTACATATTGACATTATCTATGATGTATTATACTTTTATTTATTTTGTTAGATACTTACCAATTACATTTGAATCTGGCTCAGGCCACCATGAGAATTTTTGCCAAGTTTTGAGATTCCTGGCTGTGAGTTTGACACCTCTCGTATGACTATTGCCCCCACTGACACGGTTCATACCCCCCTTAGTTGCTCTAGCTCCACAAAGACCTTCCCTAGAGTTGATAAGCTTCTGTAAACTTGGAATGAGGCTAGTTCTTTGGTGAGAGACCCTCAGTCTGAACCTTTCTTCAAAACCCTCTAGTGTGGTGGTATCTACCAGAGGTTGTACTTTGAGACATTTCACTGCCCTGGGAGCTCAGTTGGTGCAAAAAAAAAATAAAATGGAGAACTCTATTTTGTATACTGCTTCTTTTTGACTTGTCAAGGTGTTTATCAGTGATACCAAATCAGAGTGCAAACGTGTGCTTCAGACGATTTTGAAGAACAGAAGACTTTGTACTCTGCTCTCTCCCTACTTTACTCCAATTGCTGCACCTGAAGAATTCATAAATTTGTATGAAAAAGTGGTGAAGTTTCTAAGTGAAGACAATGGTGATATGATTTTCATGCTGCTAACCAAGGTAAATTATTAGTAAATCTTGATGTTATTATCGTAATATAAACATTTAATCTTTTTCCTAACTTGAGGATAGAGAGGAACATTAGGGGTCTGCCTGAGGGTATGTCTTCTGCTATGCTATCATCATCCATGTGGTCTCTATCTTTTAACCATGTTGAGGAATTAGATGCTTTAGTATTCCTTGCTGACATGTTGGACATACTTGTTTTATGTAATATTAAACATAAACCCCCAACACTTCATATTTTAAAGGATTTATGTGATCCTTTAGTTATCCATAGTGATAACTATGGATTATCACTGTTATCCATAGTGATAACAATGGAATATATTTAGGAGAAGATATTTTGAAATAACTGTGAACAGTTCCTCATCAATTGTGATTTAATTTGTCAAGTCTTTTGCCTACTCAGCAAAATGCCCATCCAAGTTAATTTAATGTCTTTTTCCTGAGAGAACTTGCATCCTCTTACACAGTTACACTCTACTAATGGTTTTATTGAACCAATGAATTCTATATCAGTAAATGTTTTACTACCAGTGGTCCAACTTTATAAGCTTTTGAATCCATGAAATTTGAACCTCTTAGTGACCCAGAGACTGAGCTCAGCTTATCATATTAAGGAGAAAAAATGCCTTAAAATTAAGCTCTAGCCTGTTGGTGCCTAGGCGTTGTTGTGGCAGTTTGGAGCAACACTAATCCTTTTGAAATATATGATGAAAATTCAGCACCATAGGTGCTAATTTGAGAGATGCCCTAATCATTCTGTACCAAATGATTATCTATGATAGGTCAAGGTATAGTGTTCCTTTCATATAATTATATTAGAAAACATTTTTTACTAACCTGATTGTGGCTTGTATTGTATTCAGCATATTCCAAAAATAATCATGTAGTTTTATCCACACTTTCTAGGATTATTGGCATAAAATGTGTACAACATTCAGACAGCAGAATACAGTTTTAAATCAATTTATGAATAAATGGCAAGATTTGAAGATCACAGAGATATATAGCTTGGAGATAGAGCTCTATAGCTTTAATGACTCCTCTCTGAGACCTTGGAGATGTTAATAGAAGATGAAAACCTAAAACTTTTAGGGAATTGACTTTCCTATCTTCTTTTTCACTTGGAAAAAAAAACATTTTGTTTCCAGCCTCTTGAAAAAAATTGTCTTTAAATATTTATGTGCTGCACACTGATCACTAGATAGAGTATTGAACTTGGAGTTAGGAAGACTTAAGTCCCAAAGCTGCCTTAGGCACTTACTAGCTGTGTGACCCTGAGCAAGTCACTTAACTTCTGTTTGCCCATCTGTAAAATGGGAATAATAATATCACTTGCCTCCCAGGAATGTTGTGAGAATCAAATGAAATAATAATTATAAAGCACTTACTTAGTCCAGAGCCTGGCACATAGTAAACACTATATAGATGTTGGTTAATGCTATTATTATTATTGTTGTTATCTGTACAATAGGAATAAAATAAAGTAATATTTTTAAAGTGCTTTGTAAACCTTAAAGCACTAGATAAATGTTAATTGTTATTTCCTGATCAGAGGGGAATGGCGTATTTAAAATATTCAGCAAATTAAATTTGAGAAACTTAAGTACACATAGTATGTACAAGACATGTTGCTGATTACTGGGGATACAAAGATAAGAAACAAAATAATCCCTATCATTAAGGAGCCTAAATGGGATGGAATTATGTCATTCTTGATAATATTGACATCTTTGGGGTTTGAACTCTTTTGAGAGATTGAATGACTAAGGCCAAATTTAGTCCAAAAGAAAATTTGCTTGACCCAGCCAGCACAGATTTTGCAAACAAATACTGTTATCATTAAATTTATTGACTTTTAAATTAAATTTGAAATAAACTGTCCCCACCCTTTTTGTGCTACTCCAGTGAGTTTTCTGTTCTAAATAAACACTCCTTCTTATTTTTTTTTCTTTTTAGTTCGATCTTAAGCAATGGTTAAACTCCACTAAACCTCCTCTGTCTGATCGTACCAGGCTCCTGGAGTCCATTCATTTGGCACTTACTGCCTGGGGCCTTGAACCCGATGAAGACATTTTGATGTCATTCAATATTTTTTGTAAACACTGGACTTATCTCCTTCTGTACCAGTTCCCTGACCAGTACAGTGACATTTTGAGGCTGCTTATGCAGAGTAAGTATATTTAGTTCTTGATTCTAATGTTATCAGGTTAACTCATAGTCAACATATTACCCTTTGAAGTGAGAATGAAGATCTATTTTACCATTTTTATTAATTTCTTCTTTCTCTTCTAGTAAACTATAAGCTCCTCAAAGATAAGGATTATATTATTTTTGTCTTTGTATCCCTATTATTGTGAAATGGAATTTATAGATAATTAAATTCATTCGTGAAAGTTATTGATATTTGGCAAGAAAAGAGTACCATGAAAGTCCTGTTTCCCCCAAAGCTTTCAATAGGAGCAGAGGAAAAGGAAGAATGGAAACTTCCTATGAGATTTCACTGCATGGGAATTTTGTGAAATTTTAATAATGTATTAAATAGTGATTACCTTCACTATGTACACTAGCTGTTTGGGGTCTAGGGATGGGGCAGCACCAATCCTTCTGAATTGTATGATGCATGCTCAAAATGGGGACAAGTTTGAGACTATAAATTTTGTGTGGTTCAGGTCCCTGGGAATCCAGTTTTAAGAAATCAATGAAGATTTGAGGTGTGTGTGTATCTAAAATCCTTGGACTTAGTACTAGTACTAAGTGTACTAGTGGAAGAACACTGAAATGTGCTGTGTACATGCTATTGGGTTTATTATTATTATTTTTTTTTTGGTGAGGCAATTGGGGTTAAGTGACTTGCCCAGGGTCACACAGCTAGTAAGTGTTAAGTGTCTGAGGTTAGATTTGAACTCAGGTCCTCCTGACTCCAAGGCCAGAGCTCTAATCACTGCACCACCTAGCTGCCTCTCATGCTATTGTTTTTAAAGTAATACAAGGTTTACTTTAGGAAAAAATGTAAAAAGATGAGAGCCTATGTCTTTTTTTTTTAAGCTTATTTTTATTTTAGATTTTTTTAAAAAAATTGATTGATTTATTATGTCTTTATAACCTGGTCATTCTCAATTTACAGTTTCACCATTGAGCATTTCCCTGTAATACAAAGATATGCATACATGGATATATTCTTACATACATAGTTCATAAATAAAAAACAGTTCAGCAAAACCTACCAACATGATTGAATCTGAAAGAATATACAAACCTCTGTTTCTGTAGCCCATGGCTTCTTTACCAGTGGGGGCAACTGTATTTCATTTTCCATTTCCCAGGCAAGGGCTAGGATTTTTCAAAACAGTTAATGAAAGAATGGCGATCTTTCAGTGTTGTTTTTGTTTCCATTCATTTTAGCTATAGCGAATATTTCTCTTTACTTCATTCTGCATCAGTTCATCAATGTTTACCTAGGCTGCTCTAAAATCTTTGATTATATCATTTTTTAAAAATTTTCTTTTATTAATTTATTTTGATTTATCAACAGTCACTTCCATAAGCTTTTGATTTTTAAATTAGCTCCCAGAAGCCCATGTCACATTAATGTATTTATATAAAACATTGCCATCAACTTTCTCTGCTCATATTTTTTCCATCATTTCCATCAGTTTACAGTCAAGTATTGCCAGTAGATCAAAATTTTGTATCTGCTTAGGCAAGAACTATGTAATTTCATTTTAAAGTTTCAGAAGAAGGGCTTATTAATACCTGTTCTGACCCCTTGGGAGAAATGGAGTTGTATGTCTGTAGGTGCCAGTGATGTGGAAAGTAAAAACCAGGAAACTTTGATCATCTTAGAAACTGATCTCCCTCTCTCTCTCTTTTTTTAAAATTAATTTATTTTGATTTATCAACAGTCACTTCCATAAGCTTTTGAGTTTTAAATTTTTCTCTCCCTCCCCAAGATGGTATGCAATCTGATAGGGGCTATACATGTACATTCCTATTAAACATATTTTCACATTAGTCATCTTGTAAGGAAGAATTAGAACCAATA